ATGTTGCCCTGATTTTTTTTGTTTTTTTTTAGCCAAACGTCTCCGCGTGTCTCGTGTCCTTCAGTCCTCGTCCGACCATTAACCACTACAGTCATAGAGCGAGAACACGGCTGAGGCAACAACTAAAACTCTGGCCTGTTTATGGAGTGATGGTTGCAGTACCAGTCACATCCTGATGGCGGTGTGGGCGATTACAAAAGTGGGTGTGGCCAGCAGCTGCCGCTGCACTTTTCCGTTCGGTTTTCTTTTTGTTTTTACACTTTCAAACTGTACTTCTTGTACATTTTTATGAAAGAAGCACTGATGGAGTATTTTATTGAACATGTTTTTTTTTGTGCTTTTAAATGATGTTAAAATGTGTATGTGTTACGCTCCGTTCATCCAGCAGAGGGAGAGGAGACAGATTTTGAGTGAGAAGTTAAACATTAAGGCGCCCCCTAGTGTTTAGTCGTGTTTCAGCAGTCACCAGAATGCCTCAGAGTTTATCATAAAAACCAGCCGTCACTCATGTCGTACTCACAGGCCTCGACTAGGACTAATGGGTCTTTAAATTTGCCTGTTTTTAGGCTAGTTGTTGTTAACATATTTATAAAAACCAGCCCAGATAATAATAAGAATTTAATAATAACTGGTGTGAACTGTGCAGCCTAGTTAAAAAAACTCTTAGTTACTGAAGGGAATTCAAACAAAAAGGTTTTCTGATTCTGAGAAACGTTTTAATTACATCAGTGCTGCAGTCATGGACGTGGACCGACCCGGACTAGGACTATGTTGGACATGATAACCTGAGTCCACTTACATTATTCTTCAGTGACTGGGGCTAAAATGAAATTGAAGTTTACTCTCACCAAAGTCCTCGACTCAGATCTGACAGTGACTTGGACTTGAAGTACTACCAAGTCTTAAAACCTTGAAGCCCTGATTTCAGTGACTTGGACTTGAGTGAAAGCCAGAGAGGCAAGAATGACTTGGAATTAGACTCAAACCCTAGTGGACCTGGTTTGGACCCAACTCAAACTTCTTCTGTGACTCAAAACCCTACGATCTCCACCTTAATGAATGGGGACTTGTTTTTCTTTGACATGGAAACCAGTGGTCAAACTGTGACTTGACCTTATTGATATTTTTTTCTGCCTAAAATAAGACGTGAAACAGCAGAGACTCAACACTTTTGTTTGTGATTAAGATTCCCAGAAGCCTGACTCGTGCTGGACTTTCCTGACTTGGACTCGTTACACCTGGGACTTGGCTGCAACACTGAGTTATGTTTAGGTTAGAAATCCAGACCAAGACAATACTCATGGTCCCATGACTGTACAAATATTCATTTCTGTCTCTGCTTCGACATCCTGTTGTCACACTGGTCCGTCTTGTTGCGCGTCTTCAAACTGGTCCCAAATTCTGACCACATGGTGGCAGCCTGGAGCCCTGATTCTGGTTCATGTCAGTTGAAACCAGGGCTTTGTTGAATGTTTTTTTTTTTTGCCAAATAGGTACGATAAGTGCTGTTGTGCAGCCTAATGTGCACAACGTTTGCTTAAGTGCTGCAGTCTGGTACGACTCTGTCCACTCTGCATGGTACTAAGAGTCCAATCCATTATGTAATATAAATCCAAAGTCCTTCATTTTGACCACGTCTGACCTTACAGTTCCATCAACAGATCTTCAACAAGAGGAAGTTAGTTCTAGTCCCTCCTTTCCCAAATTATTTTCTTGTTCACTGCAGAAGTCCATACTTCCTGTATATTTATTGAATATATTATGAAAAATAATAAGATTTTTTTTTTTAAGTGATAAGGAGTAACACATGCAATAAAAGGACGAGACGTGGTGGATTGTTATGATGAGAAGTTCAGACGTTGATTGAAGGAGAGCTGGTTTTGTGCCACTGATCTGAGAGCAGTACATCCTCTGGCCGACCTGCTGAAATACAAACATGTTTAGGAGGTTTTTTCCTACCAAAAATAAATACACAGCCTGTTTCCTAACGGCTGCAGGGACTTGGCACTGCAGATAAAAACATTCAAATGTTCATGTTTTTGGATCGAATTTGAGGAGAGTAAAAAAAACCAAAACAGATTAGCCTCTAAAACCTTCTTTTTATTGGTTCTCCAGGGGCCTCATAATTACCTGGACAACTCAAAACCCATCCTTGGGGCACAATTTGGGGTCAGGTGGTGTCATTTATTAAAATCCTCTCCTCTCTACGATCCGTGGCACAGCTGGTTTTCCGTGGCCTCGGGCTGAAAATCCTTTCCCGGTCAGGCCACAGTCACTCAGCGAGGTGTGAAGAGAGGTAGAAGTACGTGATCCAGGTCTGATCCACGGCTCCAGTGAACAGCATCGAGCCTCGGAGCTCTAACAGAGCGAGGGCTGACGACGGCAGTGAACGTGCCATCGAAAGCCATTTGAATGGAAATAATAAAAAAAACTCTAAACGTTGTAAAAAAAAAAAAACCTGATCCGACTCGTGTCATTTTTCCGTCGTGTCCTGCACCAACAGTATGGAACATTCCTGAACTCGATCATATTTAAACGATTATAATATTTACTAGAACATGATGAGGGTTTAACGAATGTTCCAACGAACAACGATTACAATATTTACTAGAACATGATGAGGGTTTTTATGGTTTTTAAATTGTCAGGTTAAAGGTCGTTGGTGAGCTGCAGGGAGAAACATATAAACAACAGCAGAGATCTGTTTGGGTGAAGTCACTGCCACGACTTCAGAGAAAACCAACCAGATGTGTGGATTCAGAAGTTCAGAAAACTATCAACTGACTTGTTAGTCTCAGTCCCAGTGGACATCTGCTGTTGTGTCCCCGGGGACTTGGTCTCATCAGGTCCTGACGGGCACAGACCTGGTCAGTGCTTCCTGCAGCCTCTGTTGTTGATCATAAAAACCCCTGCTCTGTAATTTGGCCGTAAAAACAGGGTCGTTTGCTTAAATTAGTCGGGAATAATAAAAAGACGCTCCCTTACAAAGAGCACTGTAAAATGCATTATAACCCGTTTACAATAATTTACCGTGGGATGAACGTAATATTTTAAAGAGAGCGTCGGAGCCACTTTCATGTCCAATCAATAAAAATGGAGTGGGAGGTGAAGCCAAGTCGTCCTGCTTCTGTCCAACGTGAAGAACTCTGCCTGTAAATCTGACTTATTAAACTGTGGCCTTTCATTTAGTGGAACAGGAACCGTTTGTCGATCCCTGCAGTTCCAGACCGACTCCAGACTAAAACAACTTCAGAGTTGTTTCCTTTGTGTCGCTGTGTGGGAAAAAAAACTAACACTGATGTCAAAATTGGTTTTTATCAACTGCTTTCTTCATAACATGGGTTTGAATGTTGGCGATAATCAACAGCTCTTCTTATCCAGGGTGATGAAGACTTCCAACAGAGATGGAATTCTCTGACGGAACACGTAGCTGCTGATGTAGATTTAAAATAAATAATATTAAATAAATAATATATAAAAACAAAAACAAAAAATAGATTTATTTGTAGACTCAAATGATGAAGATGTAGAGAAACAAACTCACCCAGGACAAGTCAGAACAAGTCCAGCTGAGTCAAGACTGAAGTGTCCAGACATGGAGACACAGATGTGTCAGATTGTTGGTGATGTGTTGTTAAAAAAAAAAAGTCAAATCAAACCTTTAGTAAAGGGTTATCTATATTCTAGGGCCTTGAACCAAAATGTTCTGTTTTACAGCTTTGACATTAAAGATCCTCGACTCCTTGAAAACCCTTGGACCCATCCAGGCCCCCGGTCCCTGAGGAGATACTGGAGTCTGGTCTACGTATAGAAAAACCGACCCCACCCAGCCTCTGCTGCCTTCGCTCCCTCCCAAACAATCGTTGATGTTTTCAGCATCTGGTTCCGTTAAAGTCAGTGAAAACATCTGATTACGAAAGAAGCTGCGGGAAAACACTGCAGCCATGACTCGGTGGCAGGACCGGGAAGGAGTTGGAGGTGAGGGCTTTTAGATCTGACCTGGCAGCGACGAGGTCACAGAAGAGGCTCCGCCTCCGTCAGCAGAGGTTTAGAGGGTCGAGGGTGTGACCGAGGCCTAGGTGTGGTTGGTGGAGCATTCTTCAGCTCTTTGAGGGAATTCTCTGACTCCTGGACAGCTCTTCGTGACGACAGCTCGTCACTGGCTTTGGTCCAGAAGACGCCACTAAATCTCTGCCTGTTCACATCATTCTCAGTTTGAGATTTTACTGTTGCATCATCGGATTTCTCAGCGTCTGTCTCCGATTATTTCATTTTTAGCTGTTACTCTGAGGCCGTCATCTGCGCTGCCTCTGACAAACAGTGGGGGGCACTGGGCTGCAGATTCTTCCTCAGTGGGAAGCACTGTGTTTCCACATGAATGAGCAGATCTGAGCTGTCAGAAGGCTGCGTGGCCAAACAGACTGTGACACACAGGAAATAAGGCCACGACACGTTCACACTGCAGCCTAGTGGCTGAAATCTGATTTTTTGTTTTTTTAACGACACTGAATCGTTTCCAAATCCAACTGGACATTTTCATACGTCTGAACGGTCGAATCCCATTTCAGCCGACTGTTTACATCACTGAAGTGAAACAGAAGTCATAACTCTGAGGCAGAGCAGACGGAGCAAATGATGGAGAAAATACACATTAACCAGTGTGTTTCAACCTTGGGGTTGAAACACAACTTGGGGTCACCAGGATTTATAATAAGGTCGCCTGAAATTGACAGAAATCTGGATCCTCTGTGTTTGCAACACAGTGTAACAAACATGATCTAAAACCAACTTAGAAAGAACAAATTAGTGATGTGAAAATGGGGTCGCGACCCAAAAAAAAAGCTTGGAACCAAAGATGGAGACACATGAAGATGATGGAGGGGTCAGCGACACCTTCCAACTTCATACACTTCATTCCAACAGTCACTTCGGGGATGTGGACTGGATGATGTGAAAAACCACGTGATGAACTCAGATCTGAGAAGTGAGCAACGAGAGCTGCAGTGTGAACAGAGCCTTTAATAACGGTGTCATACAGAGCTGTGTCCAGCAGCTGCGGGAAGCACGGAACTCAAAGAGAAAGCGACGCTAACTCCTGTGGTTTTTTAAAGTGGCATCGGATGCACAGTGTTCTGAGTTACACAGTAGAAAAATACACAAAGGAAAGTGTGTGTTCATCGAAGACACAAAGACACAAACACTGGCCGCCCAGGAGGACACAAAAGGAGGAAACCAGCGAACGCGTCTTGCATAACGTCGTCTGCGTGTAAACAAAGCATCAGACTGTGAGCTGCTGCAGCATGTGGTGGGGCTAACAGTGTCCTCGCTGCATGTCCTCCTGTCGAAGCCTGTGACCGACGGAGAAATGTCTGGAATGCTGGTGGCAGCTGAAGTTCTGGGGAAGCCCAGGAAAAACAGGGAGGAGTCTCTTAGCTTCTTTGGTCCAGGTTTCCAGAGAAGGAAAGAAAAGTCTAGAAGAGACGGTGAACGTTGTTCTGTAAACAGTTGGGAGCAAAACATGCATATTACTGCTGGAAGTACTGGAAAACACACACATCCTGCTGTTCCTGGTCAGTGATGTCACTCTGAGCCGGTGTGTGTGTGTGTGTGTGTGTGTGTGGAGTTCACAGTCACACATGTCGAGTCAGTGGCTCATTAAAGGCAGTGAAGATGAGAGAGCAGACCCTTCTTCACACCACACACCTCTGCCCAGGTGTTTCCTGCTCTGTTGAGCTCTGATGTCACGGCGACGCCGCCTTCCTCCTAGGTGTCGGTCAGCGTGTGCCAGTGGCAGACCTGCTGACCGTCTGCGTCCTTCATCTCCGTCCAGTGCGCCTGCTGCTCCTCGCTGCTGCTGTTCAGGCCCAGGGAGACCCAGCCCAGCTTCTCCCTGGGCTTCATGCTGCTCCTGCGGCAGAACACGGACACCACCAGAGACACCTCGGACAGCTGGAAGAGCGCCACCTGGAACACAAAGGTCTCCTTGTAGGTGGGGTTGGGCTGGCCGCGGCACACGGCCGTCTTACACTTGGACATCTCCTTCCCCTTGGAGTCCAGCATGGTCAGCTTCACGTAGGTGTCTGAAAGCATATGGTGAGAGAGTGCCATCAAGTGGTCGAACAAGGGTACTGGGACTAATGCTCGATGCTGTTTAAGATTGTTTTTTATAATCCATTCTTCTGTTGATAATTTATGTCGATTTTGTTCGATGAAACGATTATTTGAATAGAAAAAAATATTTGAAAAATCCCAGTCAATTGATTAATTGTTTCGGTTCTGCAGTAGTTTGACTTAGGAAATAGAAACCCTTAATTTTTTGCGGGGGACTACACTTACACATCTGACCCTAAACTTTGACCTCTTTACTTGAATGTAAAAAAAACACCACACTCACCTCTCATGATGTAAAGTTGTCCACCTACAAAATGTTTCACACAACAAAACAGGCCATCTGTGACACACACACACACACACACACACAGATGGGTGGAGGAGAAGAAAGGCAGCATTGAGAGCGAGCAGAGTGAAGATTATGAAACACAGCCGAAGGTCAACGTTCAAAGGAAACTCTGATGAGAAGCAATTGCCTCATCATTACGGTTACTTCCTGTTGCCAGGAAACATTTAAAAGAATTTGTGCTCCATTTGATGCTGGGAGAAACTGGGAGAAACTGCCCGGCGCGTGATTCATCCATGAAAATTAGGCTCATAATGGAGGAGAAAATTACTGAGGAGGAAAATGTCACTTTGTCACTCCAGTCCACGCCAACACCAGAACCCTGACGGAGAACACGCCGCCTGGACACTTACTGACGGGTTTGTCGGACGCTGTGGTTTTGAAGTGGCTTCCCTGGATGACCTCGGCCGACAGCTGACCGGTGGCAGAGTTGTAGATGAGACCCAGGAGGATCTCTGGTAAGGTCGTGTCCTCGGTGGAGCGGTAGGACACAGCGCCACCGCTGCGAGACACGCTCACCACTGAGCCACAACCCTGTCAGACCAAACGCAGGGAAACACAGTGAGAGAAAACTTGAATCAGTGGTTAGGATTATTAACCTCCTCTCTTTAACTGCTCACTTGACTGTCGAGTTCCCAGGTGTTTTTTTTAGCAGCAGCTTCAAATAATTATTTTCAAATTCCTTAACTGTCTTTGAACAGGTGAACATTATTATTTCTAACGTTGCTTCTGGAAATAACACGGCTGCAGTGAACAGAAATTTGAAACTCTTTCTCACGGTCAGTTCAGAGCCGGGCTCCAACGTGACAGGAAGAGCGATCTTTCCCTGCAGGTTGAGCTTGGTCAGGTAGAACACCTTCTCTCCCAGGACCTTCTCCTTTTTCATCCGTCTGATGCTGTACAGACGGAATCGAACGGCGTAATCCCCCAGGGCCTCCTGTTCCACCCGGGAGAACTTGAATGTTTCGGTGAAGACCGGACACGGGCCTTTCTGCACGCCGGTCTTGGCCCGTTGCTTCTTGGTTGGCAGCAGGACCAGGTGGACCTGCCAGGAGATGTTTCCTGTCTGTTTGAGGGCAGGGATGTCAGTGGCGGCTGTGACGGTGACGGCTAACCACTGCTCACTGGAATCGTACTCGAAGGCGACGTCCAGCGTTCCGTATTTGGCAAGAGGCTCTGGTTCGTAGGCAGTGGGCAGCTGAACGTCCTGGGACACGAAGAGTGAAGGGAGGAATTCAAAGACTAAGTCAAGAAAACTGTGGGTGGATGCAGGTACGATGGTTCCTAAGCTTTTTATCTGCAGCGCCCCCTTTGTTGGTCTTCACTGTTCTATGTGGAAAACATCCTGCTTGGCCACAGATACAATTCTTTCATGATAATGTTATTCAGTTGTTGTCCCTGTAATCTTAATAAAAACATCATGTAGAAAGATTTAAAGGAATATTTGGATATGATGTCCCGCCCCCCACTTTGGTCAAATGTGGAGGGTATAACCCCGCCCTCACCTGATGAACTGGGATTAGCTCTCTCGCCCCCAGGTGACCCTAAAATACCGGTACCAGGTGAATGCAGGTGTGAACTTTGACCTCACCTCTGGTCCCAGGACGGCAGTGCTGTCACTGGGTATGTCCTCCTCACAGCCTTTGTTGAGGTAGCTCTCAGTGTCTTCGTCCTCACTGGCCTCGCTGGACGAGCGGGGGTCATCGCATCTCTGTGGGGGCGATGTTTTTCGAAGCCCTCGTTCTGACCTGGCACGAGAGCTGACGCGGGCCTTGGAGGCCTTGTCCTGGTACGGAGGAGGCTGGCTGTCATTGGCTGAGGAGTTCTTCTTCATCCTCTGGATGCTGCCTTCTGATTTGGTGACGCAGAGGGACAGAGGAGGAGTAATCAGATACAGACGGCGTGATGTGAGTGACACTCGGTGGGTCGACCTCAGAGTCAGGTTAACCTCTAAACTGTGACAAAGCCACAGGCAGATCAGCTTCACCGTCCTGGGCTGGTTTTTCACATCCTAATCAAGCTTAACTAACCACTCCATGTGGAAGTGTGGGTCATGTGTTAGTCAACTAATGACTGACTGATCGACCAGTTACTCTAAGGAAGTTCAAATGGAATACTGTAGACCTGTGGACTGGACTAAACCATTAGAGGATGTTTAAAATGTTTATTTTTTAATGAACGTATTAACAGAGAGGCATTTATGTTTTTAACAGGGACCTGACTAAGTCTCATGGAACCCTAAGGGTCTGTGAGAACCTTATTGAGAACTACTGGACAAAGTGACTGTTAAAAACTGATGTGATTCCACCAATCACGGTTAAGTTCCTGGTCCTCACCGCGGTCACTGGAGGCCTCGCTGCTGTAGCCTTCCTTCTCAGATGACGGTGTGCGTTCGCTGCTCCACGCCGAGGTCGTCTTCCTCTGCACCGCCACCTTCTGGTCTCTGTCCTCTTCGCTGTCTGACAGAACTGCCTCTGCACAGAGACACTGTGAGTCACTCCACATGTTCAGCTAAGACAGATGCAGCTGCAGAAGCAACAGGCAGCAGAGCGGACATGCAGACACGAGAACCTTCACAGCAAACGCTTCTGGAAAAGAGAAGTCTTAAAGATAAGAAGGATTCACAAAACAAAACAGTGAAAGAGGAAGAGTTGGCTGAAGAGTCAGCAGCGTCACTCCGTCTAACCTTGGTTTCCTTTCTTTTTCTTCTTGCTCTTCTTAGTTTTCTCCTTCTTCTTCTTCTCGTCGTTGCCTGGTTTCTTTGATTTCTCCTTTGTCTCTTTCGTTTTCTTCTTTTCTACATTTTTCTGTTTTGCCGTTGACGCAGCTTCATCAGCCTCCTCCTCTTCATCATCTCCCTCTCTCTCACCGCTGTTCTCCATCTCTTCCTCCTCCTCTGCCTCATCTTTGGTTTGATCAGACCCAGGTGTTGGAGGAGCTCCCTCACCCTCGTCCTCACCCTCGTCCTCACCCTCGTCCTCACCCCCTCTCTGAGCAGCTGACTGCTCTTTGTTGTCCCTCTCCTTTCTGTCCTGTCCATCTCTGTCCTCCTCCTCCTCCTGTTCCCCCTCAGCCCTCTGGGTCTTGGCCTCCCTCTCCAGCTGTTTCTCCCTCCTTTCTTTTCTCCTTTGTTCCTTCTTTTCCTGCAGCTCCTTCTCCTCTTTCTTCTTCTTTTCCTCCTCGGCCAACTCGGCTTCTGTTCTTTTGACGCGCCAGCAGCCGTCCCTCCACTCCCACTCCAGCTGAGATGAAGAGTTCTCCGCCTCCGCTGCATCACTGGCTTGGTTGTTGGAGTTGGACGGTTCGGAGTCTCTGGACCATAGACTGGCCTTTTTCTCCTGTGGAGCGGAGGTCTGAGCGGAGCTGCCGCCACCACCGTTCTCCACGTCTTCCTCCTCTTGCACCTTGTTGATGATGGTCGTGACCTGCTCCGTCAGCTGGTCGCTGACGGCGTACGTGGCATCGCTGACGGCGGTCGCCAAGTCGTCCACGCGGCTGGTGACCGAGTCCAAGATGGAGGATATGTTCACCGTCGGCAGGTTCTGCTGGAAGCTCTTGAAGAAGGCCATCTCTCAGCTGGTCCGCACGACGATCACTAGATCAGAGGCTCGGCACTGACACGGACGAGTGTGTGTGAGCAGTGTGTGCTTCCAGCAGCATGTGTGCTTGAAACCAAAGTACAACAAATTTAGTGATTCTTGTCACGTCTGCTGTTAAAGGATATTTTTTTCCCATCAATCTTTAACTACTTAACAAATTATTATTATTATCCTTAAAAACATCTAATCTTAATAGTTTGGCTGTCAAATGATGAGGATTTTTATTCTTGGTAGCTGTGGTTCTTTACCAATTAATCAGGATTAATTCACAATGAATGAATCACATTTAATCTGTATTAATTGTCATTGTTTTAATCGTGATTCAAACATTCCCAAAAGTGACGGAAAAAATGTTTTCTGTGCATTGCTGGAACAGAAAGACAAACGACAGCAGGCAGACGTCTGTGTTCGGCTTCATCATGGCTGCTAAACAACATCCTGTTCATTGACTGTCTGTTGGACCAACGCCATATTTCATATTACAGAGTTTTATTAAGGATTTTATTAGAATTCAGTATTACAGATATTTCATCTGTTCTGTTTGACTGGAGCTCTAATTTGCAGACGCAGTAAAAGGTGCAGAGCTTTTCATCAGGCTTCATCTGAGACAGCTATGACACTAGAATCAATATCTCCTGAATGTTTTTTTTTAATATATATTCTGAAACTCTTTAGAACCACAGTCCCGGTCTTAAAGTGTGTGTAGATGCAGTCAGAGTGTGTCGAGTACCTGGCTGCGTGTTCTCATAACCAGTGAAGTGTGACAGATCGTCAGGACTCCCCACTGACAGCTTGTTGCTGAGGTAAAGAAAAAACAGAGCCATCAACGCCATGAAGGCTGCAATGGAAGACAGGACACCCAGAAGCTCAGGAGAGACTGAGAGGGAGAAGAAGGACAGAAACAAAGGAGAGGAAAAGGAAAAGACAGACAGACAGAAAGAAAGAAAGAAAAAAAACAAAAACAAATTAGACACAGACGGAAAGTAAAGTCTTCCTGATGAAGAAGATGTGCAGCGATGGAATGAAGAAAGTCAAAGCCAAAGGAAAATGTGTTTAGAAAAGAACACAGACGACACACACTGAAGAATGGTGGCTCCATGGTAACCACCTCTGAAGTCAGCTGACTTTTCCAAGTCTTTGCCCTGTTCAACACCAACTCCATGTCATCTACGTTGCTGTATGTGGGCCAGCTGTGCAGCTGTGCTATTTTTACAGCAGCCTCATAGGATTCATATCTGACTGAATCCAACAGTCACTACATCCAACAAACCTGCAGTGAGTCTGAAACAAAGCAGCAGCGTCTCGTATCCTTCCATCGTTCTCTATCACTCAATACATCCAGCCTGAAACACACGGTCTGTAAATGTTGATGTTGGTTGGTGCAGCTTTTATTAACAGCCACTGAATTTAACTTATACATTGTGTGGCTTTAATTTCACAAGATATACAAATTAAATAATGAAAACAGATGGAGAATCTCAGGTTCACTGACCAGGCATACACTCAGACTAAGATCACTGATCATCAATGACTGATTAAAATGGTTCTTAATGTAAAAAAAAAATCTTAAAGACGTCAGAGGATTTCATTAAACCTCCCGACCACTGAGTGAAACTAACATGCAGAGACTTTTTCACTGTTTCACCATGGCAACAACAGGCAGAGACCACTGCAGGATGTGGAGGAGCTGCAGACTGGAAGAAAATGATCCGTTATGTTTCAAAGAAAGGTTGAATTAGGACAGGGAGAGAGATGTGCTAGTAGAGGCTTACCTTCGCTTATCTTTTTATATAAGAGCCGCTCCAAGTTAGCGCCGATAGTACTTTAGCATCAATAACTGAAAGTTCCGCTCTGAATCAGTCCTTCAATATTGTCCGTCCGACACTTTTCAAGATAACATCTTTTACATCTCGCAGCCAGAATGACCTCCGTAGTAACAGCAGTGCCAGAATGACCTCCGTAGTAACAGTAGTGTGTGTGTGTGGGGGGGGTGTGGTGGGCGTAGGGTGCGTTCACCTAAAAATGACCTGCCTGTGGCCCTGTGCTCCTGTGTAGGGTAGCTGCTCTGTACATGTCAACGACAGCTAAATAATTCACAGACACCTGGAGTAAACTGATCCCTCTGTCAAACATACACTGGACCACGGCGCGGTGACACAAAGAATTCAAACCTTTTCTCTTTGCTTGTTTTCTCTTTGGGGCAAAATCAAACATTTCTATTATTAGTAAGAATGATTTTATTTTCTACCTGCCATAATAGTCATTCATATTTTGCCAGGACACGTCTGCATTTTGCACTGACCTTATATATAATATTATAGGTGTAAAAGTCTGCCTAGAGACAGGCAAAGGGTTGCAAATATTTTTTTTTTCTTAAACCTGACAAAAGATGACTGGACGTTAGCTAAAATAATACACTAAATGTTAGTGTATTGCTAACATCTGTAAGCTATACGCTAACATACCTGTATGCTAGCTTATCTTTGTTAATTTATTCATGTGTCAGGTTTTGTGTAAATTTTCAAGCTACTACTTGATTAAGGTGTAGCTTAATCAAGTAGTAGCTTGTTTAAGCAGTAGGTAGGAGATCTGGGAATGTTGGTTACACATGGACGTCAGGCAGGAAACAAAAACCTCCCTGCTGAATAAATCATCAACACACAGCTGCTGCTTTTCCTGAAGTGAACTAAAACTCGATAGGCCATGCATAATTCACAGGCAGACGTTATGGTTTTTTTAAAAATTCTATTAAAGAAAAATGTTCACACACTTTGAAGGTAACTTCAGAGAAAATGAATGGAGAAAATGTAAGGATGAGAGGAGAGGTTAAATATGTGGAGCCAGGCCAACAGAGTCCAGAAGAGGGAGAAAAATATATATATGAATGAGCTCTTAAATATTCATATGACGATGAAAACACTGACGTGAAGGGATTAACTGTAACATGGCCTTACCTCGCCTGGCACACACAAGTTCATGGACACCACAGTTTCTACCTCCACCTGGGGCAAACACACAGATGAAGAGTTGTCACTCACACAGACACACACACACATTTATATTTTTATATATGTATATATTTATATATATGTTAAGATGGAGCCAAAAAGGCTCAAGCCAAAAGTTAAAACTATAATTCACTGATACAAATGGCAGCAGTGATCAGTGTTTATAACATTTAAATAACCTCCTTTAATACGCTTTGTTTTTTTGGAGAAATAATATTGTAAGTGCCTCAGTGGATATTAAAAGCTCAAGGCTGTATTACTGCTCCATGTGACAAAATGAGATTTGTGTTTTTCTGTGACTCCGTCTCCAGGCTGTAGGGCCTTCTGTCACCTGGACATTAACACTGTATTATCAAAATCACAACCTCCATGAGGACAGCCGTCTCATTACCGTGTGTGGAAATAATCCACGACAGCTTCGCACACGGCACCAGCCTGACGTAATATGAAGACTGTCAGAGTTTTAATATGCACACTCCTCCAGAGAGGCGTTTTCATTACTAGTTATTGAACTACCTGGTAGTTATTACACGTTAGAATTCCCTCTGAGGGTTGAAGAAATGAAGAATATGGACACACACTGTCACACACACACTAACACATTATATTCACCTTGGCTCAGTGTCACATTACAGCCTTAGCCTTCCTTCACAGCGCTGTGTCAGCACTGGAGGAAAGTCAGGCTGTGTGCAGTACAATTCTGCATTCTGGCTTCTAATAAATCTTCGACCATTTATCCTGGTGGTGTAATATCATGGATGCAGTGATGAATGGCTCACACTTACGATGGTAGGAAATGTAAACATTTATTTATTCAAATTATAATATTTGTAAGAAGATGCCAGAAGGAGATATAGACGTATTTTCCTGTTTTTATACTGCAAAGGATCAGATTGATTTGAATGAAAATTGATCCAGAATTAATAGTTGCCAACAACTGGCAACACCACCGCTAGGTGGCAGTATTTGCAACCTAAAGCCTGCCGAACATCTTTAACTGTTGGTGTCAAAGTATCACAGGTTTCATTCCATGTGTTAAAATGTATATCTATGTAAGTACGGATTGCAGCCCACGTGACACAGCCCAGGAATCAAGATAGAACACAACCTCGAATAAACACCGTGACATCAGCACGAACTTTGTTGTAAATCACGTGAACATCAACCGGAATGACACTAGGGATTATTGATAAATCAGATAAAGCACATCATTATTATTGATAACGAGATAAGTCTGTGGTTAGTGGAGTCTTGCAGATCACACCGTCATTCTTAAAAAGACGACTTGTATCTATATCCATCCGCAAAGTTATATAGTTCTCAGACCGTAACACAACACAGTCGATTCTCCTGTTGTTGTTGTTTTCAATCAGTGCCCCAAGTGTTTAAAACCACATTTACACTTTCACACGTGTGTTCTATCGACTAATTCTAATCGATACTGGGACAACCATGTGACTGGATCAACGGGAACGCCTGGACAACAGCATCCGTTCACGGGAGGTGAGATCACAGCATCCCTGCATCAGTGCATCACCAGTCCCGTGAAAAGGCTAGTTAGCTGCTGTCCCAGCTCCGGAGCACTGCGGTACTCACGGCAGGAGTCAGACTTTTATGTATTTAAGAGAAAAAAAAGGTACACAATCACTGACTAAACATTATAACTTTTAAATGTGGCGCATTTCGCCCGTTGGAAAGTTTCAAAGCAGTCCCACTGGACACCTACAGGATAGAGGACTCACCGTCTATCGCCATGATGCTTGGTGTCGGACGCTACCATTTGAGGAGGGGGGGCGAGGGGTAGAGTGGTACGTGGGGGACAGGTTATGTAAGAAAGATCATATATCATATTAATTCAATTATGTTATATAATATTTCGATATATGTTTAAATGACCATAGGACAGAATTAGTGAAAAAATATAATAGATTGGTGAGATACAAGATTGTTACAGGCACAACAGAGATGAAGAATGCTATAGAATGCTAATTATCGTTTGCATAGTATTTATTTTGTAATTTAACATACTTAAATTATTGAATTGTTTATATATTTAATATATATAACTTGTGATTATATAAATAGTATATTCAAATTGAATTTTATGCTGTTTTTCATGATAAATGTTAAACCAGTTTGCAGTGTTATTGTATTTAAAGTAAAGTGAATCATTTGTCATTGTGACACAGCACACCACGTACGTTATGTACTTTACCATTACTACTTTACTGCTATACTACATTATTATTATTATTATCACAAGATGATTTTATTATATATCATATTATAGTTTATTTTGTGTTCTAATAAATTAATTTATCTTGTTAATTTTCACTGTACTTATACAACACTACTACAGCTAATAATACTGTGGTACTATATTATTTGTATATATTATTATTTATATTATATCATCGTATAGTGTACTGTATATGATATTATTTAAGTTATTTTATAATAATATCGACCAACTTCTAATAAAATGATCACCGATGTAATATTTGAACTTGAGAAGCGATGCCCAGACAGTGACGTCACAGGAAGGCGACACGCCTACTGGAAGTTTCTTGACAGCGTTTCCGCAAAGTTCACATCTCAGTTCTGTCACTGTTTGTGCTCGTTAACAGTGTAGACTTCTGTCTTAAAAACACAGGTTTTATTAAAGTAAAAAAATGAGTGACATTAAGCCAATGGAATCAAATTCGGTCGGTGAAGACAGCGAGGAGGAGAAAGACTGGGCTGCGGCCAAAGCGTTTTTTGACAACCTGAAAACAAGCAAACCCAGACCGGTGAGTTATTTTTTACATCCTTTACAAACTACAACTACTTTTTTTTTAACAACAGTTAATGCTGTTTTGTACTTTTATTTATTTTATTTGTTTTACTTTTCCACCCAGCCCAAATCTCGCTTTGCGGTGACCATCGCAGTCTCCTCCCGCACCCTCTTCAACATGGTGGAAGAGAGGAAGATCTACGAGGAGGACGGGGTAGAAACGTACGTGAAGCATCAGGTGGAGCACGAGAGCGAGCCCCTGAAACCCGGTGCTGCATTTCCCTTCGTGAAGGTAAAGTTAAAAAAAGAAAAACAAATGGTGCGCAGACGTTCACGTCGTTTACCTGCGAAGTACTTGCAGGGCGTGGTACCTGAAGTGGATATGAAACATTCCTCATTCATCATACATAGTGACAAGACTACTGCAGTACAAACTGTTCGACTTTATAACTATGTATGAGTTATTTTCTTACTGTACAATGAATGCAGCTGCTTCAAGGTGTAATGTTATGTAGGTTTGACAAGTAATCAAACTAGGTAAGACTGCCCTTTTCACACAAAAAAATGTTCCAGTGTTCTGATTTACTACCGTTAAAAATACTGTTGAGCAGATTTTGAAATGACTCGTCTTGCAAGAAGTCCCATGTTTGAGGCAATCTGAAGAGAGTTGCAAAACCTCCTTGGTTCCTCAGACCAGGGGTGAGTGTGCAGTTAATTCACAAAAGTTATTTTCCCCCGGCAAAAAGAAACAGTTCAGAGACGGTGACTGCACCCTGTTCACTGCAGTATCTGAAGTGACTTGAGGCTGTGTGGATGTTATATAACAAGGATTCAGTGACAGTCAATTTGTTCATCTGGTCTGCACCACTGATATACAAAATCTGATATAAATCTGGTTATTTAACATTCAATCTGGCAATTGTTGTGAAAGCTCTGCTCACTTTCTGTTCTTTTTCTACATGGTGGTAACGATACAGAAAAACACTTTATTTTGTTTTTATATTATTTTGAATTATTTATTAAGTTCTTTTTCTACATGGTGGTATCGATACAGAAAAACACTTTATTTTATTTTTATATTATTTTGAATTATTTATTAATATCTTTAGTTCTAGTGATCAGTTTGAAGACCTTAATACCAAAATATTAATTTCCTATTGGTTTGCGATAACATTCGGTCAACGAGGAGAAAATAAAAGTGTTTGTTAGCATTTTCCCGCATATGTATCTGTGATGGTACTCGATATTGGATATATGGATATATAAAAATACTGGCACTGGTGTGTGTTGGGCGTTGGGAGAAACGTATCAGTAACAGTGTGTCAGTCTAAATGTTCTGTCTCTCTTTTTCTTTTCTTTTTTCTTTGACTGCTCAAAGAACGATGTTGTAAAACCGTTGCTTTCCTTGTGATGTAACCTCATGTTTTACAACACGGTTTTTTCCCTCTTCTGTCACTCAGGCTCTGATGAACGTCAACTCTCGTCTCAGGGAGCTGTACCCGGACAGTGAAGAGCTGTTTGACATCGTCTTAATGACGAACAACCACGCTGAAGTGGGAGTGCGCCTCATCAACAGCATTAATCACTATGGTACACACAAACGTGGTTGGATCAGGGTCAGGATGGCAGCTTGACCTCCACAGCGAGCGATTTATTCTGTACGCTTGTATTCTTTCAGACCTGACCATCGAGAGGTTCTGCATGACAGGAGGAAAGAGTCCAGTAGATTATCTGAAGGCCTACATGACCAACCTTTACCTGTCTAAGGACGCAGAGAAGGTCACAGAGGCCATAGAGCAAGGTGGGTAATGACGCTGCTGCTGTTGCCTTTTACCTCACTGATATTTACCCAGTTAATCTGTGTGTGTGCATGTGTGAGTCTGTGTGTGACTCATTCACACTTAAGACAGTAATCTCAACACCACACTGTGCAGCAAGAAGGAAAACAACACACGTTTCCTGTCGTTCCTTTATTTGCCACACGACATGGAGTGTGGTGTGAAGTCAAATAATCACAGGCAGGAAAAATATGAACTGATTGAGTGAATAAGTTGAAATCCCTCAGGGTAAATGATTTCACATGAAGCATGTTAGTGTGAGAGAATGTCGGATTTAATTTTGCAGCTGAAATAAGAAAAGGCTCAGACACTGGAGGAAAAAACACTTCCTTATTCAACCAGCTGTCGTCACTCCTCCAGGAGCTGTTTTCCCACTAATGCCACTGACGCGCTGTTATACCGCAATAAACAACAACATTAATGATTTATTTTTTATGACATTTATAGTAGAATGAAATATCTGGATGTGTAATGTCTCTGTTTATTAGCACAATACGACAAACATTTCGAAACATTTCACCACATTAATCTCATTATTTTATATATATGTATATATTTATACATTTTCAACACTTTTCCCAGGAATTGCTGCTGCCACCATGTTCATGCCGGACACTCAGACCGTTCTCAGCGACACCCAGCTGAGGGTGGCGTTTGACGGTGACGCCGTCCTCTTCTCAGATGAGTCTGAGATCATTGTGAAGCAACACGGCCTCGACACTTTCTTTGAGCATGAGAAAGAATTTGAGAACAAACCTCTGGCTCAGGTGAGTTACGTTTGTACACCGAGAATGTTTTGTCTTTGACTAGGAGGATGTAACCTGTAGAATATTCTGTACGTCTCAGTTATGTGTTGAGCAGGTTTGGAAACTCAGGAGAATCTCAGTATATACTGTATGTATATATATTTATTTGTCTTTGTCCTCCAGGGTCCTCTGAAGTGTTTCTTGGAGGCTTTGGGAAAACTCCAGAAGAAGTTCTACGCCAAGAACGAGCGTTTGAACTGTCCCATCCGGACCTACCTGGTCACGGCCCGCAGCGCTGCCAGCTCTGGGGCTCGGGTCCTGAAGACCCTGCGTTCCTGGGGCCTGGTGATCGACGAGGCTCTCTTCCTGGCGGGGGCTCCTAAGGGCCCGCTGCTGCAGAAAATCCATCCACACATCTACTTCGACGACCAGATGTTCCACATCGAGGGAGCCAAGGAGCTGGGAACCATTTCTGCGCACGTGCCGTATGGAATCGGACAGAAGTATCACAGAGGGAAGCTCATCGAGAAGCCAGAAACAAAGGAATAAGAGATGAGGTGATGAAATGTCCCGGGGTTTAAGGTGAGCGAGAGGAAGTGCCTCACGCTTTGTTTAGGAAAATGTTCTGTCTTCAGGAAAACCTAACCTTTAAGAGGGCGTAAACAGGTGATCTGTTCTTGTATTCTTGGGTGTTTACTGCGTTTTATTATAGCTACGATTACACTAAGGTGCTTTACACTACTTCATTAAATGCTGTTTGGAAAAGCAAATAGTCAGTATGTAGTACCTGATGGTGCCTTATCACAGTCAATTTTACTTGTTGAGGTGTTCTCTTGTAAAAATTATTTTGACAATGTTTCTTTTGATTCAGAATTAGAATCAACTTCATTGGTCAAATACATTTACACTGAATTAGGAAACATATTCATTTGTCATGGATAAATGAATGAGATCTGCTGTAGTTCATATTTCCACCATATTTGCTGTTTATCTTTATTTTGCACATTTATGTGGGTCTGTAGTTTTCATATTTCCACCATATATGCTGTTCATCTTTATTTTGCACATTTATGTGGGTCTTGTTTGCAGTTGTTCTACAGTGTGATTACAGTACAAGAAACATCTTTTTTTGGGTTGCTTATCATCATTATTATTATTATTATTGCCGTTGATGCGCACAAGCGATACAAAAACAACTTCACAAATACATGTGTGAGTTGTTCACAAAACAACTATTTTTTGTTTTCTTCACCGTTTCACAAATACATGTGTGAGTTGTTCACATCGGTGCACGTGGTGGCGCACTGTAACCTCACTTTGCTGCCATGCTTTTACACCACAGAGCATAACGTATGAACACAAGGAGTGTGTTTTTGGTGTTTTCTTTTTGTCTAAGGATATTGGTTGGGGGAAAATCATTGTTCTTAATATATATTTTTTTATGGTCTGTATTGTCATTAGTCATAAGACTGATAATATTTTTACTTACTTTAACAAAATATACATTCATTTTATAGCATGACACTTTTATACGATCTAAGTACATGATGATGGAGTTTTTGAATAAAGTTGTTATTTCTTACGGTATTCCTGTGCGTCATTTGTTGCATTTGTCCAGAAGATGGCGCCATTAAGTTGTATTCAGACATTCCGATTCTTTAACCTAGTGACAAAAGCAACTCATATACTGTAGTTTGAAATACACTTTCTTTTTCTGGAATTTATATATATAAAAAACACAGTTTTTACATTTTAATTCTAATCTTTCTGTTTGATGCCATTTCATAATAAATATCTTGTGTTGTAGATATAGTCTTGTGTAAGAGTGGATAAAACCACAGCTACTGTTGTTCAACAAACTAAGCGAACTGTGTCGGTACATTTGTTAAAAATAAGAAACATAAAATTAAATGAACAATGAACTTTGTTATTAAACCGCAAGAGTTCAACCTATTTTTCTTGGAGCCAAGACTTGAGAAAGAACAAGAACATGCAGATCAATCTAACGGGTGAACTAACATTAGCAATAATTGGCAGTTAATGAGAACGCCTGCAGCTCCAGATAAATTATAAATATCTGAGGGTTCATCCGTCTGGAGGAAAACAACGTTATACGTAAGCAATAAATAATAAGGAATAACACCGAAAAAATATGATTAATCAGCAATGAAAATAGTTAAAATTAAACACAGTCCGACATTTTGGTTGAATGTAACCTGAAAATGTTTTCTTAAATTGTTTAGAAAAAAAAATAGAAAATAATGTAACAACAACCAAAATATGTTAATTAATTTACTTATTTATATTAGAACTGTTTTTATTCGTTTTACACGTTCTTTGTTTTTTTAGTTCAGATACCCGATACTTCCGCTTTTTCTGTTTTATTTTGAAAAATGCCCGTGTATTTCCGGCGTGATGTGCGTTTTTCTGGTATCTTCTGTTATTTTTTCGGCGTTTGATTGTTGTCACCGTTTTAATTCGGCCCTGGTGAATTCGACTTCTGTGTTTCTTTGTACGTCGTTTTTACAAACTGAAACATCACATGGTCATAATGTGATATGGTCGTCTTATATAGACAGGTGTGTGCCTTTCCTAATCAACTCTAATCAGTTTAATTAAACACAGCTGGACTCCAATGAAGGAGTAGAACCATCTCAAGGAGGATCAGAAGAAATGGAGAAAAGGGTCTGAATACTTATGACCATGTGATATTTCAGTTTTTCTTTTTTAATAAATTTGCAAAAATGTCTACATTTCTATTTTTTTTCTGTCAAGATGGGGTGCTGAGTGTACATTAATGAGAAATAAAATGAACTTTTTTGATTTTAGCAAATGGCTGTAATGAAACAAAGAGTGACAAATTTAAAAGGGTCTGAATACTTTCCGTACCCACTGTATATCCCCAAAAGGATATTGTGAAGAAAAAGTTAGCCACAGCTGAAGCAAAGTAACCAAATTGTAAATAATTTTAAAAAATAGCCCAAAACATAACACACAGTGTAATAACGTTTGCTATCAGTCCATGGTTTGTATAATGAAGAAGTAAGAAGCAAGACGTGGAGGTGAGGACGGAGCCTCTGACTGGAGGAGAATCACTGATGTAAGTTATTCATCTTTACATTTACAACACAATTTTGAGACAGTCACACGACTAGCAAGCACTAAAATCTGTGTTAGACATGAATCCAGATGCGTTCAGGTGAAATAAACTGACACTTGTTGCTGACAGTCAATTATAAATCGAGTTTGTGACACATGAAACAGCATCAGCCGCTACAGGAAGTAGCAAGAATTTGAAAACAATGATTGGAAAAATAAAGAGAAGAACATTTAGTTGTGTGTCCAGTTGGCTTCAGTGGGTTTGACAAATTCTGTCGACTGTGACCACACACCATTTTCAAGCCTTTGATGCTAATGATGAATCTGAAGAAACTCCAAGTCTTTGTAGGATCTGTGAAGACTGTGAAGTTGTTGAAGTCTGTCCCCAACTTAAATGTAATATTTGTTCTTGTGGGGTAAAAAAAAAAAGTTTTGATGAATTTACAAGGAACAACAACACAGTGAATTGTGAGCGACGGACTCTGAGTGATCGCTCCTGGATACCTTTCAGTTCACAGTGATGTCTGAATCCAGCCGAGAGCATCGGAACCAATTTGGTCTCTATGGCAATAACTTTGAATATTGTTTCCTGCCTGGATCCCAGGAGAGGGAGAAGATTGAGAGGTTTTTAGAAAGCCACCGCTCCGAGGGTCAGGATTTATATTAATTTTGTAATGTTTTACTGCAGTCGACTCATTCATCATGTCACTGAGCATCTTTATGGCCAGGCACGGTTTTGTCAGACGGCGGTTGTGTGTGTGTGTGTGTGTTTTCATCCCCAAGAGCTGGGACTGACTGGCTGTTGCCATGGATACTCGGTGCTGACACCACAAGAACTGTGTAGGCTTGTTGAAGATATAATTAATAACAAAGGATTAGAGGCAAAGGTAACACGGGGCTCAGGATGAGGAACCTCATCACACAGTTACTATAATTGGCAACCTTTCTTTGTGTCTCTCTCTCTCTCTGTGTGTGTGTGGGTATGTGTGTGTGTTTGTGCTCGCTCACACGCACCGACTCTACAGGAAAAGTTCCAGGAAAACAACGGCGGAAACAGAACTCTCACACACTGCTGCTGCATTTATCTTCTTGACAAGCAATTTGTTCTAAATATGTTTTCTTGGTTGGTGGCCAAAAACCTGTAGGTGCAGTGGATGTTTTCTGCGATGTAATTCATTTGGCCCTGCAGTACCTCAGCGGCTCTCCTGGTGCGTACATCTTAAAAACATTTAGCAAACATAAATGACATCACTGACGCTGTATTTAAGACAGCCAGGCTACGGCTCTGGGTCTTTGAACATCGGAATTATTTTAGCTATTCCTGCTATTTGACCTAGCGTCTGTCTTTGCTAACTTTTAGCTATAATTCTAATGTTGTTATTTTCTGAGCTGTTCACATGAATCAGACATTTTAGCTATATTTCTAGCTCTGGTTACATGATTTACATGTAACAAGGGTTTGTTCCACGGTGTTGGTAAGAAGTTGGTTATGTTTAAATGGAATTATTTTATTCTTGGAGTGTATTCTCTGCACATACTGGAATATTAAAAGCAGCAAATTCCAGTTGTTAACAAAAGTAGGCCACTCAAAAAAACTGACCAAAGGCAAACAAAAGTAAAAAGGTTTTTCTTTACATTATTGAAGACGCTGCTCAGTGATGAGAGTTTCTTTTTATAGACGAGCGTGGTATAGTAATCACATGTATCGAGGTCAGCTGGTCCCCTTCCCAGAAGCACATCTTTATAGGAGTCAGGCTGTATCCATGGCAGACGTACTGTACTTAAAGCTACAGACACAGGATGTTGTCACTGTCACTGTCTTTGGTTGTTACCTTCGCTGGAGTCTTTGGTCCGGCAGAAGGCTGATCTGTGAGATAAACATTAAAGGTGGGCTGGTTTCTCCTGCACTGACGTGACTCCAGCTCCTCGCTCTTGTCGCCTGACTGCCTGTCCTCTAGGGATCCCAGGAAACCCATCTCCACACCTCCACAACCAGCTCGCCCAGATTCAATTGAAGTCCATTCTGATTGGATTGCACAGTGTGGCTGTGCCAGAGCAACCCCGCAGGTCTGCAGCCATCGACATGTGTCCCTGCGTGAGATGAATTAGTCATGCTTCATTGATGCAGTGCTTCCTCATCTTGGCTTTTCACACGAGCACCTGTGTGTCGTTATTGACGGGGCTGACGAAGACACAAGGCGCAATTAGCAGACTTGTGCATTCATAAACACCGGTCTATTATATGATAGAACAGATAATACGATTCTCTCAGGCTCCTGGCAGTTTCAAAATCAATCACCACTTTGACTTTTGCTTTGTTTTCAACCAATTAAAACCCGTCCTCAGGTAGAAAAGGCGTCCTTAAGGTTTTGGTATCAGACCTGATTCTGGATTACAAATCCCCCTGTTACCCATAAAGTTTTCATTGACTTTCACTAAGTTAATCATTTTCTTCATTTAATGGTCTTTGTTCCTATTGGTTGAACTGGGTAGCCAGTCCTGGACTGGTTTTAGTCCTGGGCAGTCAGTTCCTTTTGAATTTATTTCCTTTGTGTTTAATTTATGCCTTGTATACAGTAGGTATATTTAACTATAATATATATGAGATGTTTAACCTGATATATTTCCTATTTTACTGTTGCTATGCAGCACTCTGGTTCAACCTTGGTTTAAATGTTCTTCTAAGTAAATCAGGGAAACAGGGATAAGAGGGAGGACGCAGTCGCGCTGATACTGTCTTTTTGTTGTGGGTCACCTTCTGTCACACATTTGGTCTCTTGCAAACCATCAATTCTGTCACACATTTATGAGTTACTAGGGTAACAGACATTAAATGTAGAGCACAATAAAAATAAATGCTTAGATTTATTTTCTTCCCACGCGTGCGGAAGAAAAGTTTTTGCTCCTGGCGG